ACTCGAAACTTTAGTGATGCAAGAATCAGGCTGCTTGTGTTTTGACTCCAAACGTGAAACAGCCAGAGCTTTTCTCAACCAGGTCACTCTCTCTCTGTGTTTCTTTGTCTCTCTTTCTGATATACTTCCTTTGTGTCAAAGAAGTATTTGACCATAATGAGCTCACTGAAGAAGCAATTTATTTTTCCCAAAAACTGTTAATTAAATATTCAAAATTGTTTCAGTGGTCATATTCTAGTCCTTGAATGAGTTTGCCAAAAAAAAAAATTGTTTTTTATTTAATCTTTTAGCGCAAGTAAAAACCAAATGGTGATGAATGAAATTTTGACAATGACAAATTTTGATAGCAAGGATTAATGCTATGATTGATAAAAGATACCTTTCCTCCAGGTCATTGACCGGGCATGCATAAACATACATACATATGTGCGAAGATTCATGTTTGTATTACATAAGTAACTAAATTTTCCAGGTTTCGCTGCCTCGCCTGGAAGGACTACAGATTAAAACTTGTAGGCATCGCCCCAAAGAGTTAGTGGGAGATGGAATGCATAGCGGGTATCTTGAGAACTTGAAGTATTTGCAGATCACCGATAGCTGTATCGGATGCATTGCCAAAGCTGATGGGGTGACAATATTACAAAATCTGCAGAAACTTGTGGTTAACAGTCACGGGATGCAATTACTTTTTGAGTTTGAGGGGCTGAAAGTTCATGTGCTAACAAAAACAGAACTCGAAATTCTTCCCAAACTGGAGTCATTGGAATTACAACAATCCTCAGGATTAACCCACATTTGGAGGAATTTTCCAAGAGGGGTTCGAGTATTCCAAAACTTAAGAAAGCTTATAGTATGGGAGTGCAAATTACTAAAGTTTTTGTTTGATCCTCCTTGTGTGGCGAATATGCTTGTGAGCCTTGAGGTGCTTGAAATTAGTGATTGCTCGGAAATGTATGGAGTTATTGGTGGGGAATTAGGAGAAGATCAGATCAGTCAGGAGGATGATGCTCAGCAACAAGATATCGTTGGAAAACATAGAGAGAGTTCTGCATTGGAAAGAAGCAACAAGCTGGAATTTGTGTTTCCCAAACTGAGCTCTTTAATTTTGATAGGCCTCCCAAATCTTTTGAGTTTCGCTGGTAGTAGCCGCGAGGAATGTGAACTCAAATTTCCCTGTCTAACACATCTGAAAATACTGCAGTGCCGGCAGTTGAAGAAATTGTGTCCAGGAAAGCTGGATGCACCAAATCTTGAGAAAGTTGAAGTGGTCGAGAATGCCATTCCTGTGGATTTAAAGGTACATTAATACATATCCCAATTCTAATTTACCATTTTAATTTTGTCCGATCACTCCACTATCCTTCAGTTTCCCTAGCTGAGAGTTGAGTATTTACGTTTTTCTTTAACTATTTTTGAGTATATATTTCACAGGATAGAAAGTTCATCTTTTTGAGGGACTCAGCGGCCTCTGATTTCTACCGAAGGAAGATATGGGAGTTGTCGTGATATTAAGGTGCACACTTGTCATGGGCTTGCATGCACTCTCTCCTTTTCTGTTTATTTTAGTTCGATCTCATGCATCTTTCATTTATTTATTTTTTTTTTTTAGGGGCGGGGTGGGGGTGGAGATTTGATTTTCAATGTGCATTTATATATATTTTTTGACCTATATGAATGGATCAATCAGGGTGAATTCTTAGTTTATGATGGAAAAAAAAAAGAATTCTACAACGAGGGCGATTTTTGGAGTGTATTCTGCAAATGGGGATCTTCGCATTCCGAAAATGCGAGCTCGCATTGGAGCTCGCATTCTGTGAATGCGAGCTCAGTGATACGTTACTGTTGATCCCAATTCAGAGCTTTGTTTTACTATTTTGTCGAATCACCAAGAAACTCTTCATCTACTCCACTTGTCCTGTGGCTCAATGGAGGTACTGTCGCTAAATGTTGCCAGTTTAACTTTGTTTCTTACGAAATTTAATTAGTTTATCAAGTGCTAGGCATTCCAAGCTCTTTGCAGGTCCTGGTTGTTCTTCTCTTGGAGCCGGAGCATTGACGGAACTTGGGCCAATTTTTTTTAATATAAAAGAAATATGATTTTTTTTAGAGCACATATTTGATGACTTTAGGCACGTGCAAGTTTTAAAATAAATAAAATTTATTCCTCTGCTAATTACAGATTTTTAAATAACATTTCTCTAACATTTCTCCGAAATTTAAGATTTTAGTACAGCTTTTAAAATAAGATTTTATTACCGACAGCATTTTAGTAAAGACAAATTCTACAAAACAAACAACATTTACAGTTAATTTTACATTTTTTTGGGAGCTCGTAAATTTCATTTTAAATTTTTTTCCTAGCAAGTTTGAATTTAATTTTCTGAAAGTCATACTTATAATAAATCTAAAAGATATGACCCAACTACCAAATTATGGTAATTCTATCACTCAAAAAATTTATAACAAAATATAGCACTGCCGCTGTACATATTTAAAGCAAGCCTATTTCATTGCTTACTGCCTATTTCATTTCTTATTAATTAAATTTGAATTTTACAAAAAAAAATTCATAATTGTGTTAATTTTCTAATATATATTACTTCATAATTGTTATAATTTATGGTTAAACCCCCTATTATTAACAATATACCCTTAAGCAATCCAAAGAAATTAATGTGCATACTATATATTTAGTATACCATATATTTGTAATACAAACATCTGCAGGCAACTTAAGGCAAGGAAGTAAAATACCAAAAAAAAAAAAAATTAGACGTGCAAACAAAAGTGTATAAACAAAAGTGTATAGTATAAAGAAAAGTGTAATAAACAAAAGTGTATACTAGAGCTCGCATTCACGGAATGCGAGCTCTACTTATTGAGCTCGCATTCGCTCTATTCTAACCTCGCATTCGTGAAATGCGAGTTCTAAGCTCGCATTTCACGAATGCGAAGACCCCCGGACGGAATTCATTGCCAAAATTACCGCTTTTGTAGAATTTTTTTAAAATTCATCACAAAATTAGAAATTTCTCGGATCAATCATATACTTACATGATAATTGAATTTGGTTTGACTTGTGTTCAAATGATTAGGACCCTAAACAGTTTTTTTTTACCTAATATATATACTTAACTATACTCACTTTTGGTGAACTTTAATTTGATTTACGTTTGTGCTATCTAACATACAAATAAATAATATGTAAGGGAAAAAATTTAAATAGTAATAATAGGTAAGTTGGGGCTGTGGAATTTTGTATTGTCAGTTCTCTTATCAACATCTTTGATGTAGATATTAGTTTTTTTTTTTCAAGCCGTAAATATTAGTATGTTGGATTAATTTTTTTGGGAGTTTCAATATCTAACCATGTAATTTTATGTTGGACATTATTCATATTTAATGTCGGATTGCAATATTCATGCCCTTTGTTTTTTTTATCTGAATGTTGCAGGAGTCGAGAAGTTAAGCCAATAGTGTGGCCCGCTGCTACGGCTGTAACATGACAAGTAAGATCTTGTTTTCACATGTTACTTCAAAGTTTGGCTTTTGCATCTTCAATATTCTTTTGTACGATGAGATCTAGTCATCGTTGGGCTAACGAATTTCGCAGAAGCAATCTTTTTTTTTTTTTTTTTGGCAAAGGGGAGGGACGCCACCCCCACTTTTATTCATAGTAAGCAGAGATACAACGGGCTCAAAGTTGAACAATTTCTGTTTCTAAAATTAAGGTAGTTTCACGTTCCTAATAGAAGGCATTCCAATGAAATCTAGTCAAATTCCCCCACGAGCCAGTCGTGGCCAGTCATTCCAATGCTCATACAATTTGATATCCAGGTGAGGATGAGCTACTCCAACATTTGCCAGAGTATCCGCTACCTTGTTAGCCTCCCTAAAACAGTGGGAGATCCTAGTAGGTACGTCAATCAATTTCCATATCTGCTGGACCTATAATCGAATACACCATGGGCAATTGATTCGACGTTGCAGAATTCCCACCAATAGTAGGGAGTCTACCTAGACGTTAATATTTGTAATTCCCCTCTGATCACATAATCGGAGTCCTATCAAGAGAGCCAATGCCTTAGCCTGGATACTGGATGCCTCGCCGAAGAAAGCTGAGAAACCTACCAAGGGGCGCCCTACCGCGTCCCGTATAACTCCGCCTCCACCAGAAGTTCCAGGATTACCTTTGGAACATCCATCAGTATTCAAAGTGAAATAATCCTCCCCCTCTCTTGGTTTCCATTGAACGAGTTTGAAGCCAAACTTCCGTTTTGTTTGATGGGACTAGTCATATAACTGCGTAAATGACTGACATCTAATATTCTCTTTAAAATGGCCTTCAATTAGCAGTTTAGTCTCCAAAAAGATTGCCTGACAGATAGAAGTAGTGTGCGGTATAATTGCTTCGAAGATTGCTTTATTCTGAGCTTTCCAAATATGCCAACATATAAGGCTTGGAAGAGTATAATATATGACCTTCTGCCTCTCCGAAGCAGGGGAGGACAACCACCAAGAGGCTAGATGAGCTCGAACAGATGAGCCTAAGCTAATGCCACACAGCCCTCCGAAGTATGCCCAAACCTCCTTGGCAACCTGGCCCATTAAGAAAACATGCTCAAACGTTTCAACCAACTCGTACGGACAACACCAACACTTGGAAGGACCATAAATTCTGGGATGCAGAAGCAATCTTTAACATAATTGTCTTGAATTTTGTTTTTTCAGGCTTTGATTCTTGACTTGTCCCCATAATATTGCTCGTGTAAGTTTATAACTTTATTTCCATTAGAATAGCAAAAGTTATGGGAAAAAGAATAAAAGTTATGGTTACCATTGTAAGGAATAGTGTAATAACTACTAATAAAAAATGGGATTTTCATTCCCAGGTGCATTAGCAAGGTATCATACCTATCCTCTATAAATTTGCCTTGATGTTGATTGCAGTTTCTCAACTTTCTCACCTATGAATTCTTTATCCCTCATTTTACCTATTCATGACTTCATTTATATCTCTCAGCAATTGTTTGTTGGAATTATCACCGTGGTTTTTCAATCAATCCAACAAAAAGAGGTATGTGTTTATCATTTTCAATTTCTCTTTCGGCTCAGCACTTAAATATGTTTTTTTCTTTTGTTTTTCCGTGGGCATGTAAGCACAAATCATAATCATATTTTTGCATAATTTGTCATAATATCCATGCATTTTTTAAGTAGAAGTATAAGAACAAGAAAAAACGGCTATGGCCCTCTTCTAGCACCAGGATTAAATGGTAAGTTTTCCAATTAAATATTAACTTTAGCTATAAAACTAATAAGTTTTGTTATGATGGTGGTAAGACATAAACATTATAACTACAAAGTACTAATTTTTTTCTAACTTATGATTATTTACTTAACTGCAGTCACCACTTATTTAACAAAATTAAACGGATATTATTCTACTTCAACCAATTGATGCCAGTGATAATAAAACATAAGGATACCCACATTGATCCATCATACATTAATAACCAACAGGTACATGTGTCGTTAAAACACGTATGCCATGAGAAGCTCATTCGGATAAGAATATGATCAGTATAATAATAATAATAATAATAATAATAATAATAATAATAATAATAATAATAATAATAATAATAATAATAATAACAATAACAATAACAATAACAATAACAATAACAATAATAATAATAATAATAATAACAATAATAACAACAACTCACAATTATTTGTATACCAATCCTCAATATAATACTGGCCGACAAATACATGCGTCGTTATGAATGTATTTAATTGATGAGTATGCCATAACAACAACTCACAATTATTTGTATACCAATCCTCAATATAATACTGGCCGACAAATACATGCGTCGTTATGAATGTATTTAATTGATGAGTATGCCATAAGAAGATCATTGGGATAAGGATATGAGTACAGGAAAAGATATATAGAATTCATATGTTACTATTCACATGGCTTCAACTTTCAACTGCTTGCCTTGGGGACTTTTTAATAATTTGATAGAGTTATTTGAGTCTTTTGTGGAACAATGGACTGCTTGGTACATAGGCATTTTCGTAAATTCATTTTTTACCCATAGGTGTAGAAAAACATAGTGCTGATTAAGATTTTAGCCATTAATGCATATTAAGCTCTTGAGATTCTTTCTTTTAAAATTTGTAAATAACTGAGAAGGCCACTAAATTTCTAAATTCCTACAAACGATTTTGGCTTTGTGCAGTTTGGGAATTTTTTTAGTGTAGCTTAGGATTCAAGTTTTGTTTTAAAAAAAGAAAGTTGTGAACAAAGAATTGGACAATTGAGGGGTGAGTAAAGAAAGGAAATTTGGAGAAATTGCGCTCGCAATTTCTGGAGTTAACATGGGGTTGGAGAAGCTCATTTGAAAAATAATGTGCTGCAGGAAGTTGAAGCAATCGTGTTCCAGAAAGTTGGATGCACCAAATCTTAAGAAAGTTAAAGTGGTAGAGAATGAAGCCATTCTCATGGATTTAAAGGTACATATACCCTAATTCTTTTAAGTCCAGCTTTTAATTTTGTGTCTAACTTCACAATATTTTAGTTTCCCTAAGAGTTGAGAATTTACATTTTCTTTAATTATTCTGATATGTACTTCACAGGATGGAGAGACTCTTTTTGAGGCATTCAATTCTATTATTGGTACAGAGATAAGAGACAAAAAGAGTTGTCTGGATATTAAGGTACACACATGTCATAGGCTTCCAAACTCTGCTGTTTTGTTTCTTTTAGTTCAATCTCGTATATTTTTACTTTTTTTTTCCTTTTGTGAGGGAAGGGTGGGTGAGGAGGTACCAGAGGATGGTGATTTTGATTTTCAATGTGCATTATGTATACTTTTTAATTATATGAATGAATCAATGATATATTTACATGAGAATCGAATCTAGTTTGACTTGTTTAAATGATTAGGACCCTGAACAGTTTTAATCAGATAAACACACTTAATTATATCCACTTTCAATCAACTTTAGTTTGATTTACATTTGTTCTATCCTATATTTTTCTATATATAAAACATAAGGTGGGGGTTTGATATTAAAATTTTGTGTCATCTTTTGATTTTTCAATTTTACCCTCACAAAAGTAAAGATTTACTAAAGACAACTACTTAAGTTTAGTAATTTTTGATAACTTCCACTTCCAGTAACTTCTGTTTTTTTTTTGTTTGCCTAAAAAAGTATAACTTCTTTTTTTTTTCCAAAAAAAAAAGAAGAAAGCCTAATAACTTCCATTGGTTATAACAAAAATAACTAAACTATTTTTTCTTAATTTGCACATGCATAGGGTGTACTTTTCCTACTAGTACAAATATATATATATATATATATATATATATATATATATATATATATATATATATATATATATATATGCATCATTAATACTTGCCTTTTCAATTTTCTTTCATATATATTCACACACTTTATGGAGGCTAACATACTCGGTAAAGCGGTATTTTTGTCCCTAAGATTGTATATTCATAATATTTCGTCACTTATTGGACATATGAAAACTTACATTTTTGTCAAACAGTTAAAAATGTAATATAACTTTGCACCAAACTGTACCTCATGTATTTTCCAAAATAGTTCTAGAAAATTCCAAAATAATCTATGCTAAAAAAAATATTTGTTGGTGAGAAAAGTTTCTAAGTTACTTGTATCCTTTACGTTTGCTTTTCCAAAATCATTTCATTAAATTTACTTCAATGAGCTAACATTGTTTTTCTGCCTTTGTACTTGTACTCTTACGTAATTATTATTACCTTAATTATGTATCTCTGAAGTTTTTTCATATTTTTCATGCAATTCATTAGATCCATTTTCTCTATTTTTCAAATAACACAGTAATAGAAATTTGAACAGAATTTTGCAATAATGGCCATCCAAGAAATTGTCAATTCAATTCTGGGAACAATTGCAGAGAAGTGTGTCGATCCAATTTGGCATCAATTTCAGTACTTACTTTTCTACAAAAGCAACGTTCAAACTCTGAGCGATGACATCAAAAAACTTGAACTAAAGGAAACTGAGGTGCAACAAAAGGTAGATCGAGCAAAAGACAATGCTGAAGATATTAAACCAACTGTTGTTGATTGGCTGAAACGAGTTGAGGATGTCAAGAAAGATGCACATACTATTTTTGAGGGTATGGAGACTGCTAAGGTGAATTGCTTTAATATTGTTAGGCTTCCGAATTTGAAGTCACGGTATTTGCTAGGCCGACGTGCGGCGAAAAGAATGAGTGTTCTTGAAAAGCTTTTAGCAGAGGGGAATTTTGATGAAGTTGGAAGCATTGCTCCATTAGGCAAAATGCGTTTTAGTGAATCAACCCCATCCTCAGAGGAAGGCTTAGTTTCTAGGATGTCAACAAAGAAGGAAGTGATGGAAGCTTTAAATCAGGAGAAAACAAGCCTAGTGGCGATTTGTGGTATGGCCGGCGTAGGCAAGACTACTTTGGTGAACCAAATAGCCGATCAGGTTAAGTTTGAGAAATTGTTTGATGACGTGGCTACGGTGTCTCAATCTCCAGACATGAGGAATGTCCAAAATCAACTTGCTGAGCAGTTAGGGCTGACAATATCTGAGCAAACTAATTGTTTAAGAGCTGAAAGAATGTATAAGAGACTAACCAATAGTGATAAAAGAACTCTTGTTATATTGGATGACATTTGGAAAGAAGTTGAATTTTAGATTCTGGGAATTCCCGTCAAAGGTGAATGCAAGAGCTTAAAAGTAATATTGACATCTCGGCTCTCTGATGTGTGTAGTATTATGGGAGCTGAAATTATTGTGGTCAATATGTTGCCTGAGGAAGAAGCATGCAAGCTTTTTAAAGAGAAGGCGGGAATTTCTGATGATTTCATTTTGAATGATGTTGCGAAACAGGTTGAAGGGGAATGCAAAGGTTTACCTCTTGCAATCGTTGTTGTTGCTAGGGCATTAAGGAGCAATCATACACTAGAATCCTGGAATCGTGCCCTTCGACAACTAAGAAAGGACAGAATGGGAAACCTAAAAGGAGTTCAAGATTTGGTGTTTTCACGAATTGAATTGAGCTATAATCATTTGGAAACTGCTGAAGCTAAGTACCTACTTTTGCTTTGTAGTTTGTTTCCAGAGGATCATAGTATTCCAATCGAAGACTTGGTTAGGTATGGACAAGGGCTGCAGCTGTTCCAAGATACGGAGGCATTGAGAGATGCAAGAGACAAAGTAGACATGCTGGTTGATGAGTTAGAAAGCTCCTATTTGTTGCTAAATGATGGTGAAAAAGAAGACTATGTAAAATTACATGATGTCGTGCGAGAGGTTTGCTTGTCAATTGCATCAAAAGCGGAGCATGAATTTTTAGTGAGCAATGCTGGAGTGGGAGAAAAGAATTCTTACACGGCAATTTCACTAATATCGCAAGATTCCAATCATAATCTACTTCCATTTTGCAAGGTATATCCAAGGCTTATGCTATTGCGTTTGGTATTCCAATTCGATTGGCCATTCGAATTAGGGAAATTGGACCTGCTTATTAGGAATGGAAGCTCTCAAGGTCATGGATTTAAACTTCTTCCATATAGAATTTGCAGTATCATGGCCTGGCCAAATGTTAAGGAGCCTTCGGACACTGTGCCTGGATAGTTGTTACTTGGGTGCTGGAATGTCGTCAATGCTTGGACAGATGATGCAATTGGAAACTTTGAGCCTCTTTGCATCCGAAATTCAGGATGATCGGTTTCCAGCTGAAATTACTTGGCCGAGCAATTTAAAGTTGTTGGATTTGAGGGTTGAAAGTAGCCTCCACCCCTTGCCTGTTGGTATCTTGTCGAGCTTGAAGAAACTAGAAGAATTGTATTTGGGGTTTCATTGTCAGTTGCAGCTAGGGAGAGATAAAGAAGAGGAAAGAGGATGCCTTAAAGAAATCTCATCAATCTCTAACCTCACATGTCTCCAAATTGATTTATGTGACCTTAACCTCCTACTTCTACTATTGCAGGAATTTGATACTCAGAAACTGTCAGGATTTCATATTGTAGTAGGTAAGTATGGAAGAAAATCGTCAGATCTCAGCAGAAACTACCAATTTCAGAATAGCTTCGAACCTTATTTCTCTCATGATGAACCATTGGATGATTTGTCTAGCGCTGAAACATTGAAACAAATGTTTGATCCTAAAGTTACTAGCATTATCAAGAGAGCTGAGAATCTCACTTTGGATCTTTCTGGATCATCATGCTTGAGAAATATTGTGCCTCACTTGGGTGGAAATGGATTTATCTACTTGAAAAAGCTTGATCTGATCAAAGGACAATATGAATGTCTCATTGATTCTGCCGCCAATCCTATTGCTCGACATGTTTTTGAAAATTTGGTGTCCATGAAGTTAAGAGATCTGAAGTTGAACAAAATATGGTATGGATTTCTTCCACCTTGGTGCTTCAGTCAACTCCAAGAGGTGGAACTTAATTATGTAAGTGCTTTGGAGTTTTTGTGGAAGGGGCCAATCGAACCTCCATCATTTTGCAACCTCAAATCTATTGAGGTAAGAAACTGTGCTCAAATTACAACTCTCTTCTCACAATCAACAATGAAATGTCTAATGAAACTCTAGAAGTTAGTAGCTTATGACTGTAAAAATTTGGAGAGCATTGTTTTGAGGGAGGAAAGTTTGAAAGAGGAGGTACTTGAGCTACCCCAACTCAAAGTCTTGACACTTTAGTGGACAAACTTGATGGGCTTCGGCTCCAAAGATAATAAAGCCGGGGTTTTTTTTTACCAGGTATCTCCTCTTTTATCTATTTGTGTAATAATTATATGATATAGTTGAATTCTGGTAAACACTAAAAATACGCTCGAGTACTTTCTTTTACAATATGTTAATTATATTTTCAAAATCAATGTTTCATCAGTTACATTTTAGGCCTTCATCATTAACGAAAATTGGGTTTTTGGTGCTAGTAAAGGTCATAATCGACAAATTAGTTTTTTTGTTAAAGATTCTTTGGCACACGAACACACCCATCTATGCATAACGACGGGTAATCCAAACACTACTGTAACTGCATTTTGCGTTTTGTAATCAACATCATGGGGTGGGCTACGCTAAGTTTTACCAGATTTTCCGGGTTTCACTCCCTTGCTTGGAAATACTAGAGATAAATAGTCCTGGTGATGGCCCCGAACTACTAATAGGAGGTAAAATGGCTAGCAAGTCTCTTGACAACTTAAAATCTATGCATCTCTACCATGGTGACTCTATCCGATGCATTGCCAAAGCTGATACTGTTTCACTGTTACAAAACTTGCAAACACTTGAGCGGTGGTGGGGTAATATGGAATTCCTTATTGACTTTGAGGGTCTAAAAGTTCCTAATATGCTATCAAAAATGGGACTTGAAATTCTTCCCAAATTAGAGTCACTGGACTTATTTGCCTGTCCAAGGCTAACCCATATTTGGAGGAATTTTCCTGAAGGGTTCGAATATTCCAAAATTTAAGAATTATACATGTAGACTATTGCCCTTTAAACTATTTGTTTCATCCTTCTAGTGTGGCTACCATGCTCATAAGTCTTGAGGAACTGAAAGTTCGTAGGTGCTCGAAAATGTGCGGAGTTATAGGTGAGGAAGATGAAGAGGTCAGCCAAGAAGATAATGCTCAGCAACATGATGCTGGAAAACATGGAGAAATTGCACAGGAAAGAATCAGCAAGGAGTTCGTGTTTCCTAAATTAAACTCTTTGTGGTTGGAAGATCTTGAGAATCTTCGAAGCTTTGGTGGTAGTCACCGGGAGGATTATGAGTTTAAATTTCCCCTACTCTCTAAATTGTTCATAATGAGTTGCCCAAAGTTGAAGAAATTGTGTTCCGGAAATTTGGATGCACCATTGCTTAAGGAAGTCCAAACAACGCCAAGAGATATAGAGAATTTTGAAGCTCCTGTGGATTTAAAGGTACTAATATTCTAACTCTATTTTCAACCAACCCTTTTAATTTTGTCTCACTTCACTAGACTTAGTTTCCCTAAGGGTCGAGAATGTATGTTTTGAATAATTATTTCTGAGCATATTTGTCTCATTTCACTAAATTTAGTTTCCTAAGTGTCGCAAATGTATATTTTGAATAATTATTTCTGAGCATATTTTACAAGATACAGAGATTTGTCCTCATCATTAATAGAAAAAGAATCTATGATGGAGTTGTTTGAATGGACGTTAAGGTATATCTTTCTATATTCTCACAAACTTTATATATTCCCTTTCTTCTAATTTTATCTTTATATCTTTTTCTTTTTCCCGTTTGCTTTGGGAGGAATGGAGGTTATTATTACAAGCCGTTGCATTTATGCTTTTGATCTATATATCACATGACAATAGAATCTGATTGATTAGAAGACAAAATTACCCTAAGACGAAAATTTAGAAGTTTTGAAATTAATATGGTTTTTTTTTGAGTTAATATGGTTTGATGTTTCCAAATATTTAGGTAAACTATTGAACAGATTTTCACGTCACATACATATTTGATGATACTTACTATCAATGAACTATACTTCTATACACATTGAGTTCGCATTGTTGGTTTTCTTATTAGCTTCTTTGATCTTAATATTACTATTGCAGATAAAGCTAATGCTGTTAAATCCTGTTTTCCTTCTAGTTTTGCATATATTAGTTGTAGTGTACATATTTTTATGAAATATTTCTTCTTTTACATTTTTTTTTTCAAAAAAATACCACTATGAAAAAATGTAAATCTTTATATTTCAGCTTTCAAAGCTCCAATCTCTTCAAAGATATAAAAGTGAATATGCCATGTAGGAGTTGCCAAAAAAATATCTTAAAATAGAGACAACAAAAAGTAAATTAGAGCTACACAAGTCTGAGTGACAAATTGATACAGTAAATTCCAATGTATAAAAATGTACATTTGTTTTGTACATTGTCAAGTTACAATATTCATGCTTTTGTTTTTTTTTTTTTTCCAAAAAATAATGTAGGAGTCATCAAGTTGATCGAGTAATATGGATCCGGTTACTACGATCTTGGCTGGCGGACAAGGCTCTCGGATAGGGATGGAGATCTTAGTTGGGTTAATACAATAAGTGTGGAACTTATGTAAGCATTATGTTTTGGCATTGATTTTCAAATAATAAATGTATTATATGTATTGTATTATGGCCTTGCACAATATATGCATTGTGTGTATTGTATCATGACTTTCAAACGATAAATGTATTGTATGTGTTATATCATGGATTTTAGCTATAAATAATGAAAGCTTTTCTTATGGATTTAAAAGTATAGATATCCTAAATCTTTTTCGTCCTTTGAATTTGTCTTTTAGTTGCTATTGCTTTATTACATATAGTTCTTGTGGAACTATCATTCAATTATATATTTCTGTTTAGATTTCTTTTTCACCGTTTGAATTTGTCTCTCAGTTACTATCACTCCACTATACATAGTTCTTGTGAAAATATCATTCAATTACCCATTTCTATTTAGATAGGTCACTCTCACTCTCTGTAGCAAACCCAAGCTTAAGAATCTACTCTCAAGTATTAGGTTTTTATTCATCTATTTTTTGGTGAGAGTGGAATGAGAGGTTTGAATTTCAGAGCTCCATAAGTATGCTTGTTATTATGAATGAATCAGTTAACATTAGTACATGATTTTGTCAGTCAAATTGGAATCCACAACAATAGACCATTTCTAAAGGCCAACAATGGTACCTTAATCTCATTTGATATACAAAAATTTTGCTCTACTGTTACTCCCGAGACAGCAATCATATAGAGTTCAGAAGGATCAGAGTGGAAGGTAATATACCTTGAAGCAAGAGGGGCAAAGACACCTGGGGTCCTCTCATTTGAAGCAATAAAAAAAGTTCGTCCTGGTGGGACCCATTTTGCAATTCCACAGGAAATAAATTTTGGATGGGTATCCCTGTCAAGATAAGGATACAAAGACCGATTAATGCCAAACCTATCCTTACGAGTTTTCAATTTATTACCTCATCTGGCATGGATAGTATCATAATCACCAAGAAGCACCTTATTCTGTAGAAATAACAATGGGAAACATCATCAATCATATTAAAAGTCAAATCACTTAAAAATGAAAAGTTTTGAAAAAAAAAAAAACAATGTTATAGCTGACTGCAATAGAACACTAGCCATCCGAAAGCATCAATGATGGCATCTTAGAGCTTTAGACTCCCATAAAGAAGGCATTCAAAATAGGTGCCCACATATGGATGACATTTGACCACAATTAGGCCGAGCCATTTTGAGCGCAGATGAACCAAAAATGTGTGTGAAACTTCTAAATACATATAAAACCCAAAGGTCACCAACCATATATTGACTTTGAACAGGCATATCCCCCGTCAATGAAGCACGTCCAAAACCTTTTTTGTGCCTACGCTTGACTTTCCAACTGTGAACGCAGTACCAACCAATGATCAGCACCTCAGACAAAAATAGTTTGGGACATACACAAACAGCTAGCAGAAAAGAATAGCTATAAAACAAAAAGAAACTCAATGTCATATTTAAACACCAAGGTTCATTCTCAAACCTCTTGTCAAATATTCAAGCTCAACACTGTGCACCAAATATTATAATCAAGCAACCAACCAAAGAAGCCCACTAGGAAAGCATGCAGCAACGGTGAAATGGTGAGCCTTCTTGTACAGTCTTTCTATGTGATGAATTATTTATCCCCCTCATCTCTAAGATTAAGCCATATAAAAGAAAGAAATTACATATCGAAGACTCCCACATGCCCCCTAACATGCATGCTGGACTTCTTAGTTGGTAGGAATTAGCTGTAATTAGTCTAAGAATACAGCTATGTAATTAGTCTAAGATAGCTGCTGTAATTAGTCTAAGAACACAGCTATTAGTCTAAGATAGCTGCTGTAATTAGTCTAAGAACACAGCTGTATATAGTCTGTAATTACAGACTATATACAGCTGTACATGGCTGACCATTTAACCTAGTTACTTGTGTAAATAGATCAATGAAATATATGAAAAATGGACTTTCAGCATAATAAATAACTTGGTATCAGAGCTTTGGGGTTTTTCCTTGCTCTCCTCTTCTCTGAAAATTCCAGCCATTCTTTCAATAGCCCACACTGCTGAAATTTCTTCTCTAAAACACTAAATACATCACAATATGTCAACCAAACCTGATGTTGAATCTCCTAACAGCAAGAATCTCTCTACTCTAACCATACAAGATGCTTCTTCTTCCATCCACATTAAATTGGATGACACTAATTATCGCGTTTGGTCCAAGATATTGGAGATGCATATTGCTGGAAGGAAAAAAATGGGCTATATTAATGGAAAAAAGGCTGCACCAGCAGTAGATGATTCAAGTTATGATGAATGGGAAGCTGAAGATTCTCTTGTCAAATCTTGGCTTATTAGTTCAATGAGTGATAATCTGATATCTCACTTTGTACAATGCGGCACAGCAAAGGAAGTTTGGGATGCTGTAAAAAGAAGTTACCTTGATGTATCAATTCCTCTGAAGTTTATGAACTAATGAAGAAGACTTTTCATTTACAACAAGATGGTCGGCCTCTAGCAGAATATTACAACGAATTAAACTCAACATTTATGGAGCTCGACTATCGACGGCCCAATGACATGACATGTGCTGCTGATATTGAAAAATATAGAAATCGTATTGCCGAAGATCGAATTTATATTTTTCTTGCTGGGCTTGATAATAAGTTAGATCAAGTTCGCAGCCGTGTTCTAGGTACTTCTCCTTTACCAAGGTTAGAAGAAGTCTACTCCATGGTTCGTAGAGAACTACAAAGACAAGTTGCCATGGGAGCAGAATCACACTTTGAGGCTTCAGCTCTAACTGTTCAAAAGAGCACTCCTATTGCCATTAATGGAAATTCTACAGCCTCTCAGTCTCGATTTTGCACCTACTGCAATAAGAATACACATACAATTGATGCTTGTTGGAAGAAGCATGGCTATCCAGAATGGTATAAACTTAAGCAAGCTGAGAGAAAAAATAAAAAATTTGTTCGTAATACTGTTGCTCAAAATGTTGCTGCCATAGACACAACTCCATTTTCTGTTTCTCATGTGTCTCGGGCATCTTCTCAAGAAGGTATTTTTGGTTTGTCCGTTATTTCTGCTCATCCTAGCACTTGGATTATTGATTCAGGGGCTACTGATCACATGACTAGTAACTCTTCTATCATTGACTCTCTTACATCTCCACCTGTGAAGTCTGTACAGGTTGCTAATGGAAATTTTACGCCAATCATAGGCGCTGGAAATGTGTCTTTTTCACCAAAGTTTTCTATGTCCTCTGTTTTACTTGTACCTAAACTCTCAAATAATCTCCTCTCCATTAGTAAAATAACAAAGCATCTTAACTGTTCTGTCATTTTTCACTCTACTCATTGTGTTTTTCAGGACAATCTTACGAAGATGACGATTGGCATTGGTAAGGAGAGGGATGGTTTATATTATTGGGAAGACAATCGAGGCATAACAATATCTACTCGAGGTTTTCAAACAAAAAGTGGGACATCAGACATAGAAAGAATAATCCTTTGGCATCGTCGACTAGGACATCCATCTTTTTCTTATTTAGAGCATATGTTTCCTAAGTTATTTTCCAATATTTCAACTTCTAGCTTAAGATGTGAACAATGTGTTTATGCAAAAAACCATCGTGTTCCTTTCAAAGTTAGTTTTAATAAAAATGTCACTCCTTTTTCATGTGTTTATACTGATGTGTGGGGTCCTTTCTCAACTATTTCTACTTCAGGACATCAGTATTTTGTATCTTTTATTGATGACTGTACTAGAGTCAGTTGGGTATATTTGATGAAATCTAAGAGTGATGTTTGTCATATTATTCCTCAGTTTTATAACATGATTCTTACTCAATTCAACACTAGAATTAAGGTTTTTCATTCTGATAATGGTCGTGAATTTGTGAATCGATCTCTTGCTGATTTTATGATACAACGTGGCATTCTTCATCAAACCACTTGTGTTTACACACCCCAGCAGAATGGCACAGCAGAACGGAAAAATCGTCACTTTCTTGAAGTAGCACGAGCCTTATGTTTTACTATGCATGTTCCAAAACATTTTTGGGCTGAAGCTATTATGGCTGCTGTTTTCCTCATTAATCGAATGCCCGCTAAGGTTATTGATTTCCAAACTCCTTTGAGAATGTTATCTAAATTTCATTCTATTCCTTCTGCTCTTAATATTTGTCCAAAGGTTTTGGTTGTGTATGTTATGTTCATGTTCATTCCCATCATAGAGATAAACTTGATCCTCGTGCTATCAAATGTGTTTTCCTTGGCTATTCTAATTCACAAAAGGGATATAAATGTTTTCATCCTCCTACAAGAACCTACTATGTGTCTATGGATGTTCAATTTTGTGAAAATGAGTCTTATTTTTCTGGACATATGTCTGCGGTTCCTCTTCAGGGGGAGATTAAAAGTAGAGAAGAGGAAAAACAATGGCTAGAAGAAAAAAGGATATGGATCTCAGGTATAGAAAATGCAAAGGAAAATGGGGAATCCTTAGTTTTAGATGATGGTCAGGAAAATAAAATTGAAACTAATAGTGAGAGACCAGCTCATCTCTTTGAGAAAGGATATTCTAGGAGAAAAAAAGATATCTCTGTTATGCCTTCTGATTCTTGTACCTCCCTTAATGATAATATCTCCCTTGATGATACTACCATGCTATCGAATGAATCTTCCAAGATTGACACTAAGGTATGTACTTCTTCTGAAAGTCTTGACCCATATCCTAATATTGATCAGAATAGAAGATATCCTCTTCGTGAACGAAAAGAACCTGATAGACTTGGTTTTTCAAAAGCTTGCAATGTTTCTTATCCAATTTCTGATTTTATATCCTATCACCGTTTGTCTAAGGCTAACTTGACATTTGCTCTTCAGTTGTCTTCTGTATATGTTCCTAGTCATTTTCAGGAAGCCCTTGATGATCCTAAGTGGAAAGATGCAATGGTAGAAGAAATGATGGCTCTCCAAAAGAATTCTACTTGGGAAATGGTTGAGTTACCAATGGGAAAGAAGACCGTAGGGTGTAAATGGGTATTCAATGTCAAATACAAGTCTGATGGGACAGTTGAAAGATACAAAGCTAGACTGGTTGCAAAAGGCTACACTCAAACCTATGGTATTGACTATCAAGAGACATTTGCACCGGTTGCCAAGATGAACACTGTTCGTGTCATATTGTCACTTGCAGTTAATTTAGACTGGCCTCTACGACAATTTGATGTGAAGAATGCCTTTCTTCATGGTGAGTTGACTGAGGAAGTTTTCATGGATCCTCCTCAGGGGTTTACACTAGAAGAAGGAAAGGTGTGCAGACTGAAAAAGGCATTGTATGGATTAAAACAATCACCAAGGGCATGGTTTGGAAGATTGACTCATGCCATGGAGGAGTATGGATTCAAACAAGCTTCAGCAGATCATACGCTGTTCTATAAACGTAACTACAATGATATTACCGTGCTTCTTGTCTATGTTGATGATATGATTGTAACAGGTAATAACAAAGAAGAAATTGAGAACCTTCGAAGCTACTTAGCCAAAGAATTTGAGATTAAAGATTTGGGGACTCTTAAATATTTTCTTGGCATTGAAGTATCACGGTCCAAGCAAGGACTCTTCCTTTCCCAGAGGAAGTATACATTGGAACTCCTAGCTGAAACTGGTATGTCTGCTTGTGAGCCGATAGATACTCCGATTGAAGTGAATCATGGCCTAGCCTTCTTTTCTGATCAGATTCCAACAAACAAGGAAAGATATCAAAGGATCGTGGGTAGACTAATCTATTTAACTCATACCAGGCCAGATTTAGCATATGCAGTCAGTGTTGTTAGCCAGTTTATGCACAATCCAAGTGATCAACACATGAATGCTGTTAATCGAATCTTGGCTTACTTGAAATCAGCTCCAGGAAAAGGTGTCTTATTCTCCAAACACGAACATTTTGATGTGGTTGGATATACAGACTCTGATTTTGCTGGTAGCAAGTTGGATAGAAAATCAACTTCTGGATATTTGGCTTTTGTTGGAGGCAACTTGGTGTCTTGGAAAAGTAAAAAACAGAACGTGGTTTCATTATCTAGTGCAGAGGCTGAATATCGAGCTATGCATCATGCTATCACAGAACTCTCTTGGCTAAAAATTCTCTTAAAGGAGATTGGGTTTGGTCCAAAAGATTCTATGGTATTATTTTGTGATAATATGGCAGCCATTAAGATTGCAAATAATCCTGTTCAACATGATCGGACAAAGCATGTTGAAATTGATAGGAACTACATCAAAGATAATCTTGATTCCGGGACAATTGAAATTCCCTATACTAGAAGTTCAGATCAGTTGGCTGATATTATGACTCATGCTGTTACTAGTAGCTTATTCAATGCATCTCTATCCAAGTTGGGCATTTGTGATATCTATGCCCCAACTTGAAGGGGAGAGTTGGTAGGAATTAGCTGTAATTAGTCTAAGAATACAGCTATGTAATTAGTCTAAGATAGCTGCTGTAATTAGTCTAAGAACACAGCTATTAGTCTAAGATAGCTGCTGTAATTAGTCTAAGAACACAGCTGTATATAGTCTGTAATTACAGACTATATACAGCTGTACATGGCTGACCATTTAACCTAGTTACTTGTGTAAATAGATCAATGAAATATATGAAAAATGGACTTTCAGCATAATAAATAACTTTCTTTCAATACGAAGAGCGCATGACGCACCTATTAAGAGTGGTGCCAAACATTAACAGAGAACCAGTGCTTACCCTGACACCAGTGGTCATTTACGGCCATATCTAGAAGCTTCAACTGTCAAACAGGAAAAGGAAATGTTACTTTTTTAGAAAAATTAAAAGTTCACAACCTGTTTACGAAAAGTGACAATGCACCTTAAAACAAATTGCGGTAGTCAAGCTTTTACGACATTAATGTCTACCCTCCCAGGGAGCAGTGAATGGTAGAAATAACCACTCTTTTTAAAGTCCCATCACCAAAATAACTACAAAAGGGGAACATCTTATTTCAAACTTTTTATAGAAGCACCAACCAAAAATCTTCCAATAGGAATAGAACTTTTACATATCATTAAGATATCATGACCAGTTTTTCCAAACAAGATCCACGGCACCCTCAACATCAAGTTTACTACAGGCCCAGGTTCTAGTCTTTTTATCAAACCAAACTTTGATAGTCAACTCAAGAAAGAAATGAAACATTTGCAGTGTGCAAATAATGTAATGAGCATATAAATTTTGGCTTCCAAACGTAAGGACAGCTTATCGATTATCTATGAAAAGAATACCAAGCAAAACACATTTATGTGAGGGCATTATTAAGCATCACACCTATGACAGGCCATTGTGTTCCCATATTTGACAGAACTTTCTTTTCTTTCCTCCCTTTTTTGATTTGTTTTGTTTATGTCCTTTTCCTCTTTAGCTACAGCAGAGGAAGGGAAGGGGAGAACTCATGGCAACAATTCTCCATGTCAACAAAGTTCACACCATATGCAGCACCTTCAGGAGATGATCAACAGAAACATATGCAATGCTTCTATCATGTCCAACTTAGATCAACAAGAACATGGAAAAAAAAATAGCCACGCTGTAATTGTACATTTACTAAAACAACCAAAAACAACTTAGAGTGCATAATGGATATAAAGTATTAGTGTGTTTGAATAGTAGATTATTTGGAATAATTTTTTGAAAAATACTGTAGCCCTTTTTTGATGTGATGTATGTGAGGTAAAATGATGGTTGAAAAATATATTGATAATGCAAGCAAATCAATTTTGGCAAATAATTCACTATCCAAATAAACCATATATTACAATGCATCAAATTCAAAAATCAAGAATGGCTAAGATACAGAGTTTGAAAGTTGGAACAACTCTTAACTTCTTAATAGGCTCTTTGAAGACCTTCAAGATCAACTGATCAAGATTTTTTTGCATCCACTTTTAGACAATAATGAAGTTAGTTTTCAGCCTAAAGGTAAGCTTGTAGTTAAGTTTACTTACACAATTTGCAAGAACCGATGAATGCAGCGCTCTCAGACAATTAAGAGACTCCAATTAGTTAGAGACTTTAAATGAGTATTAGGTGATATAAAACTTGTCATAAACAATTAAAGCACGAGGAGGGCTAGGATTAGACCAGAAAAAGACTTCTTGATTATTTAACTAACCTGATGGTGGGAATTTTTCCAAAATGACTTGAATTGCTTCAGTCTAAAGCTTACATTTAAAGAGAAGTTTATTCTTCTTTATCTACAAGCTACCTGACTCTCAGGTTAGAGGCAAGAAGTGGTCCAATTTTAACATCACAGGCTGCGGTAGTGCATAACTTAGAATCATGTCATTCCAAGGTCTAAAGCTCACACGGTTTACTTAAGACCACGAAACAAGACCCCAAAACAACTCAACAAATGATTAGAAAAGTATATTACAGATAAAAGGAGGAAAAAAAGAAAAACTTAAAAACTCTGGAATACACCCTCCACTTAATTATGTTTTAGCCCCTTGCTAACCCTAAGTATCATAAACATGAGTGGGTAAGGTCCTGCTTTGTCAAACACTTGAAAACATTACCATGATAAGTGGGTAAGTTAAAGGCAAAATAGTAAGACAAACTTTACCAATTGCATGGGCATAAACCGGAAAAGATAGTATGCTTATAAAAAGAGTGTTATTTGCAAACAAGTTAAATTGCTAGGATAAGGGAAAATCCCACGGCACAGCAATTCATGTTTCACCAGTCACTGACAATAATGACAGGAAACAGAAAATGGAACAAAATACTGCATATATCACTGTAAACCAACATTTTCTGCTGCAATCTTCAACTTCTTGCCAGCCATTGAAGGAAGAAAAGAATACGGCAAGAGAATAACACTACGGTTATTCTGATGCTTGCACTCCATGAACTTGAATGATTACCATGATTAATACCTACAAGAAAATTATCAAGATTCAAAAAACCAAGCCCATTGAGCTTCGCAAAGAAATTTCAGCAACGAAACTGTAATCCTTGGCGAACCTAAACTTAGGGAGAGAGAGTAAACGACCAACCCAAGCACCATTCAACAAGTTAAAGAGCTCAAAACTTGGATCTTTTACCAACCCAAAAACAAGATTGAAAGAGCCTTCAACAGTGTGTAACAAAATCCTAGAGATTGATCATTTGTAAACAAATAATTGAATGCAAGAAGGATGGAGAATGTTTAGAACAAAGCAAAGCAAAAGGCAGTACAGAAGTATTAAAATTACCATGACAGAGGACTTGCTGTTCAATTTATGAGTAAAATATTTGAATACAAACTTTTTGATCTGAGGTCCTCCCAGTTAACTCCTTGCACATTGGCAATCCCTCTGGATCCGAATTTCATGCTTGTTAATAGCACCTGATGCCACTGTTTTGAGTTATCCAAAATTACAGGTACCGTTTCTGATACGAGATCAAGATCATACAAGGAATGCATCGAGCAAGAGCTAGCTGCAAATAAAATTTAGAAAGGTAGGTTAATCATTAAATGACTAATATTTACTGACTTATGTTATCAGGCACTTAAGGAAAATGCCAATCGAATAATACAAACAAACTTACAAAAATTTTCAGCTGCATCACTTCATTTTACTCTTTGTAGTTTCATTTTTGTTTTAAAAGCATGTGTAAGCAATTAGTGATACTAGAAAACTTGATATTTTGCATCTTTTAGTTCAAACAAGTAGCACCTGTAACAACTTCTGCTTACCTTTTTTTCCTATATTTTCTTTTTTTTTTTTTTTCCATTCAATGGAAGAGGCCAGAGTTTACAGTGATACTAAATACTAGTATATGCCAGAACTCACCTTTCTTCTGAACTGGCATCAATGGACTGGCGAAGAATCCGCTTCTTATTGTGTATTGGATTGATGCACATTCTAGAAGGCATTACAAAGGTTCTGAAATGTACAAAAGGAGCAAAAGACAGGAATGAGTCATCCTTTCTTTGCAAAATTTTGGGTATTAGAAAAGGAACAAAAACTTGGAATGCTAAGTCTGCCAATCAATGGACTGGTGAAGAATCCGTTTCTTATTGCGTATTGGATTGATGCACATTCTAGAAGGCATTACAAAGGTTCTGAAATGTACAAAAGGAGCAAAAGACAGGAATGAGTCATCCTTTCTTTGCAAAATTTTGGGTATTAGAAAAGGAACAAAAACTTGGAATTCTAAGTCCGCCAATCATCAATAACAGATGGTTTTTTTGTTCTTGAGTGAGCAAATAGAATCAATGAGGCCATGAAAGTGGAAGATCCACAAAGTCTGTAATCCAGTAGCACCAGAGCATAATGCTAACTGCTCCAAGTCTTTTAAGGGTTACATCCATAAAGTAAGACTTCCAACTGAATGTGAAAACAGGTCCTCCAAGCACAAAACACTAAGAATGGAAAGCCTTAAAAAGCAAAAGTTTGCCACAGTAAGCTAAAATCTCGGAAGTCAAAATTGCAGAATGGGCAGGTAAGTAGAACACATTTGTTTTGTCACAATTGTAGATGGAGTCCAGCAAAAATTCTCATTTATATGTAACTAAAGTCGCATGCTACCACAGCTTACCATGTGCTAGTTTGTCTCTATATGCTAAATTTCATCAGCTAACCTCATATTCTTGCAAAGCCTCAAACAGTACTTTAAATCATAAAACAACATTCAAGCAATGCAGTATGAACTTGTGTCACCCATAATTAGTACTCTAAAACTGTCCTCTTCAATTGCAAGTTCCCATCTTTCCCAACAAAATCCTAGAGAATTACTTGGCTAACAGTGAAATCAAATCCAATGATACATACTCAGGTGAAAGCAATATTCTTCTACTGCCCAGGCACTGAATTCAATTAAAGGCACTTAAATCTCCATTTTGCAATTTTCAAACATCACCATCTTTCCAAATGATAAAATCTATAATCTTCTCAATCAAATTCACTCAGAAAAGGGGGAAAAGGAGAATAAAATGGACGATGGACTTTTCTTTTATATCAGTAATAACAACAGTACTACCAAGGGAAAACCAATCTATCTCAAGGTAAACTACACCAGATTTAACAATTCACTTCTAGTTAATACCAGAAAATGATGCAGCTTTCCTCTTTGTCAATACCAAACCCATCTTACATCCAGTCAGAGTCACAAACAGAACACATAGTAGGCCTCGTGTGTAAGCAAATTTTCTTACCATACGATTATGGCAGTACACTTGTACTTTGCATTGCCAATGTTGTATATAACCATATCTTTCCTCATCAGTAAAATTTACAACTTTCTAAACCAAATTGAGAAACAGAAGGGGACAAAGAAAAGGGAAAATCAAAGGGAGATGAACATACTTCTACATCGATATTATATGCATTTTACTTACCTAGAAAAACCAGACCATTTTAGGACAAACTGCATCATAGATAAAGAATCAGCTGTACATAACACTGCATAAAGATGTAGATCTCTCTCTTCTTCAAAATTAGATCCATTCTATATCCAATCAAAATCACCAATAGACCCATAATAGACACAATGTATAAGCAGAATTCTTTAATCGATACGATATCAAAATTGACTTGTACTTTTGCCAATGTTGTACTTTACCAATACCTTCTATCATGAACCTTCATCCTTCCGGTGGAACCCCTCAATGAGGAAAGTTGGATAATGAACCATAAGAGATAAAAACGCAAAAATTTCAAAGCCATGAATAATCAAGAATATTCGTCTCATTCTCCTTATAGTAAAGGATCAGCTAACTCTCCTCTCCCCTCTCAAATTTTTAACACATCCAATCGAAATCATCAGTAAATCCAGTAACACACATGCTGTATGACCAAAACTCTTCCTCTATTACCACAATAGCATCTCTCTTGTACTCTGCTGACAAGATTGTACTTTGTTATATCATGCATAACAAAGCTCCATACTTTACAACCAAAACACCTCCAAAACGAGTATTAACATAATAAAGCAGCAAAAGAACAAAAACCCACTAGTCCAACCATTCATATAATCAAGATTATTTCGTTTTCCGTTGTAGTTTTTTTACCCCCCAAACAAAAAAGGTATTTACCTCTGAAGATACATTGCTTCCTCAAGAGCAGACCTGAGGCTGGACTCCAGGTGGCGTGGCCAAGGCCTTCACAAGACTCACAGTACTTCCCAGGACAGTCAATTCTACTGCCCCAATACACATACTTCTCAAAATCTCTATCATTCTTAGCATTTTTGCTCTGTATACTTGTTCCAGTGATGGAATAAAAGAAGTCTTCTATGAAAAGAAAGAAGATGCAGCCAACTGTAGCTATGCGAACGATAAGAATGGAAGATCTGGGTGGTGGTCTCTGTCGAGGTTTTCCCCTCTGGGTTTTGTGTTCAAAGAAAATAGGATTTTTTTTTCTGTTTCTAATCCTTTTTATTTTTTCTTCGGCAAAGAGCCTGAACAACCCTCGAACATTCATGTTTTTGTACTTTTAACCCTTCATCTTTTGGGATGATATTTCATTTTTTTTTAACTTGTACATTACATGGGTTGTAAATCTGAACTTTTCACAACTAGAGTTAATTAAGTGGCCTACAATTAAAAAAAAAAAAAAATAAGGGGGAGTGTAAGTAAGAGGTCTTGGGTTCGATTAATCCTGCTTACACTTAAAAAAATTATATATAAAAAAAAAATTTTACCCCGTTGGTGGTTTGTCCAAAATAAAATTTCTTCAATTTTATTCACATATTTGTATTTCAAACAAATCAAATTACCAAATACTACCTTTTTTTTAAGATATAAAATATTACCTATTTGGATTGTAGTTTTTCAAAGAAAAATTTTTACATTTTTCGTAAACAAATTTCTTAATCATTTTTTACTCTCACATATATCAAATTGCTATAGTACATTTTTCTTAAAAATTTCAAAAAAAGGCAATCTAAACAACCTTTTAACCCAAAGTACCTTATCTTTTGTAATTTATGAGTCATGACGTCCAAAGTCCATGATCGAAAATAGCAAATAGTTATTGTCCAAATTACATTCTACTTATAATACATTTTTCTCAAATGAAATTTCTTCGAGTTGTGGAACCAAAAAGATTCTAACCTTTGATCAACAAAGCATCTATCAATGATTCACTTTCAAGGCATTAATTAGACAAAAGTGACAAAACAAATATATAAACAAAAAATAGTGCCAATTTAATTCTTGTAGGTTAGGCAATCTAACATTTAACCCCCTTATAGCTTTTAAACCTTAGCATCTGGTTGGATAAGCTGTACTTGTCAAAAAACATGAGCCTAAAATACGCAACTACAATAGCACCTCTTACAATATCACAAAAAAACCCCCCAAAAACATCTAAAAATACCAAAAAATAACTTTAAAAATGTGAGGATTCGAAAATTCCATTAGTTTAAAATCCCTAATTTGGCTAAAATAATTATTTATTTGGATTTTTGCCACGAATAATATTTTCTAGCCTATTAGACCTAAGTACATGATTTTATAGTTCGTTATATTTCTAAAGTGTCTCATTTTAAAAATAATAAAATAAAAACATAGATAAATAAACAAGTATTTTCTTATAAGCCTATTTAGCGAAAAAGTGGAAACGTGTCTAAAAACTTTAGCCAATTGGGATTACAATAAGCTAAAAATTTAAGACATATACAATGGACCTAAAATAGACAATTTTAGGTTTAAACACACAAGTAATAACTAGTGGTACGATCGTTATAAGAATTTTTCAAAGGTTTTAATTTTTATTGCGCCTAAATTAGAAATACGTGTTTTCACGTGCGCGCTTAATTGAGGGACTTTGGACCATTATTTTGGGACAATTAAGAATGAATAATATTTATATGAATGTAAGGGCCCTAGAGGTTTAGTGCACTAGTGCAACAAACGTAAGAGAAATCGGATACAAAACGCGCGCGTAGGGTACTAGTTAAAAATTGATTTGACGTATCAAAGGATTTGACGTCAAGCGTCTTTTGTACGCAAAGGCTACAGAGCCGAAATTCATTTCCTTTTCTCTGCTACAATGGCCGGCTAGACTGCAGCAAAGGAACAACCAAAGTCACCATTTCTTTTCTTCTAAAACTCAACCAAATTCCTATCAAAACTTCCATAGATTCTCACCAAACTTCACATTCGTTTAGCTTTTCACTTGGACAACAACATAGGCTGAAAAAGGGAGGAGCTTTCACGGTTTCTTCAAGCTTCAAAGGACCGAAAATTCTGTTCAAACCAACCATCAAAGTAGGTAACAATCTAACACTTTCAACTTGTCTTATGGGAGTTGATTTACGCATTTGAGTTGGAATCTTTACTTTAGTAGCTTGGATTGTTGGAAATGTGGGCTCTATGAACTCCCACTTTGGGTTGATGGTTGTGATGATGTTTGATGATGGTTTATTTGCTGAATTAGAGCTTAAGGAAGTAGATTAAAGGTGCATTCTTGACAGAAACGTTGATGGACTCTTGAAGCGAAAAGTTCCCATTTTACCCCTGCTCTGTTCGGTCACTTTACTGCAGATAATTGAGGATTTAAAGGCTTGATTATGTTGTTTACATGTTGTAGAAGTTGTGTACAAAATTTCGTTGAAAAATATAGAGTTTTGGTTGCTCAAACGAATTTATTTCAAAAACTGGTGATTTGGAAAACGGTTTCGCCGTAATCCAGACCAGTGGTTGTATTTCGTCCATAACTCCGTACTCCAACTTCGAAATCAAGTGCCGTTAGCGGCATTTGAAACTAGACGTTTCCATGTTTTTATCGGTGTATAATGCACGTCCTGGTTTTATGTGTGTGAGCCACACCATTCATCTGAAGTCAGTTGTCCTGTTTCTCCGTTCTGCCGAAATGATTTGATGATGCTGCAACTTGAGTCTTGATTTTGAACCAGTTGCATGCTGAAACTTGAAACGATTTCTTCTGTGAAGTTGTAGCCCTATGAATTTATTTTCTAACACTATCAACTATTCCCAATTCCGAGTTAAATTGAGAGAGTTATGATCAAAATACGGCGACTGCTCGTTTTGAAAATCTTAGATTTGGACAGATTGCCTTAAGGATTTTTCCAAACTTTGGTTGATTGAATGACCCCCCTCCCGAGGGTATTTTTCCGTGAAATTTGATAGAGAGATAACCTTCATATGGAAGTATTATACTGCAAAATTTGGTGTCAATCCAAGTCCGTTTCGGCACTTAACTAAAGGTCCAAAGTTGGAACCAAATCAGGAAATTTTGTAACAGTCTTGAATTTTTCCCAACTTTGAACTACCATATCTTGGTTCTCGAAACTCCGATTCTCGATCCGTTTGTCTGACCTAAACCTTACTTGCACCTCTAATTGAGCTATAAATTTCAAGGGCTGGTTTGCAACGAGTGAATTCTGCCGAATTTTCAAAGTTAGCGAAAAACCAACCCCGGCTCAATCCTGGGTGATTTGGAACAGCAACTTTAGGCTCATTTTTTAGCACTTTCCACTTCGATTCATGGAAAAGTGTCTTCTAAGAACTTGCAGTACTTTCTAAGAGGTTTTCAACGGTATAAAGTTTTCCAATTCTTGACTTATGCCGAGTGAGTTACGATTTTTCAAAGATTCATAACAAAACTGAAAATTTTCCAACTTTCAAGGAAATAGAGTTTTTCAAGAACTCTTTATTCTTTTGATATTATCTAAACGTTTTATCCCCGATTTCTTAGATAAAGACTTAAATATTGTTGAATGTTATCAAACCTCTCTCGAACCTCGATTTACGAGTAATTGAGGTTCATTTTCACGGAATTTCCTAGAATAATACTAGTGAACGAATTATTCCTCGATATTTGGAATATGGGTGATAATTTACTATTATTTGCTCAGGCACGCACGAGAACCTCCAAGAGGACCCTACTGTGGAAGTTTGAACTCTTCCTCCAATTTACTTGCTTGCATAACTTGGTGAGTGTCAAGTGTATGCCTACTTGAACCCTAAAGTCTTGATTCATGCTTGATTCACCTGATTTCATGCTTAGCTTAACTGATTTTGACAAAATGGAGTCGAGTGTGTACTTGATCGCACTCGTTCTCATTTGAAACGAATGACTCATGCTTAACATGATTTGCTTGGTTTACATGACTTGAAATGTCTGCTTAAACCTATCAAATGCTTGAATACATGAAATGGTATGCTATGATTGCATACGTCGATGGAGTGAATCTCCTCGACATTTACATGACAAATGGGGGACGCCCAAACTCATAGGTCGACCTTGGAACTCGAGCCGGCATGGGCTTGGTCGGGAATCTCGGTGAGTCATGAGACTCAAATGATAAGTTTGATCTATTGAGAGATCTCGCTTGGCATACTCGTATAGTATCGCCTTATAAATGTAGTGCGGGCCCGAAGTGGTGTATGGTGGACGGATGGGAAGTAAGTGGTGAACTACGGATATGAAAATATCAATCCGGTTGACGGAGAGTCATCACGGAAAGATATATAAACGGTATCGGCAAATGTGGAACTTAGCTCCTGAGAGCTTCTATATCCTTGAATTGTTTCTGGTTACAGTTTGGTGTTATTAATTACTTGCAAGATAATACCTGAATTGTTATTGGGCTTGTTATCTGAACTATGTGGTTGCATGTGTGTTTTTGGCCTCACGAGCGTTTTGCTCACCCTGTAGATTTGTTTTCCTTAACAGGTTGAGTTCGGAGATAAAATGGAGCAGCTCTCCTGATGTGCTTTTGTTTTAGGGTTGCTATTACTTTTGTTTATGCCTTTGGTTTTGGATTGTACTTTTGGTATGGAAACGTAACCTTTGGACGAAATGTATTATGTATATCGACGGGTGGTTTGAAGAATGGATAACTGTTATTAAGTTTGAACACTTCCGCAATTATTGCATCTAAGTTATCGATTTGTATTTTTTTTTGTGGTCCGGATATAAGTTGAATGGAATTGCTTGAGTCCTGGCGAGAGCTAGGCAGGCGTCCCGCGGATACCCTTTGGTTCGCCTTAGGGAGAAGTGGGGGCGTCACAGTTGGTATCAGAGCGCTAGGTTAGAGATCTATATGGGAAACATATTAGATACTCTACCCTTAAGACTCGATATGGAATGACTTAGTCATACCCTAAGTGATACTTGAGGCGAGCTAGCAACTAAGTTAGTCCTACCTCAAGTGACAATTGAGATGAACCAATGATTAGGTTAGGCATGCATTGCAGGATATTGAAACTAAATAGAGATTTAAATTTCTAACCCAAAAGGTGCTATTATGTTGCAGGGATGGACAACGGAAATGGAGTTCCGGCAGCTAACGGGAATGGCCATGCTAATGGTCATATAGCGCCTCCTAGACCTATCTTTTATCGATCTTTGGCTGGGGAAGCTCGAGTACGCTACTCCCCATTTGACAGATATCCCCGATGTGCT